ACACTATATTCCAACAATAAAGTTTTACTATTATATAAATACCTACTTAGAAACTTGGAAGAAAAATAAAATTAGACAAACAAAAATTAGCTGGTAAAACCAGGGCTCGTGGTTTGGGGGTGATTAACATAAAAGCAAAATCTCAATACGGTAAATTTACCAGGGTTCGAATCCCGACCATTAGAGAATTAACATTTCAACATCACTAGGGACAAAAGACAAATATATGACAATACATAACTAATCTAGACCATTTTTGTGGAATCAAGATACTCCTCTATAATTCAAAAAAAAAAAAAATCTTAATCAATAAACAACAAATCAATTAAGAATACAAATTTTAGACATAAGTGAAATGAGCTAGTTATGTAACATTGTGGATCATACTAATGGATATGATAAATTTCACCAAGACATAAAGACAATTATTGTTGTATGTCCTCATATATTAAAGGGGTTTTTACAAATATGAATCAAAACAAAAAGTTAAATGTAAAGTAAGAGTTTTTTTTAATAAAGACTTCCTGAGAAAATTCTCAATTTTTACACGAAGTTTGCATGTTGTCGGTAGAAGCTTGCGTACGATAGTTTTGTAATTGACAATTAAAAATAAAAACATTTACTATTAATTAAAGTATTTTAAGAGAAGTCTTTTCCCTGGAAGTCATATTCATTTTTATTATGAGATTCTGGTTAAACCATTGGTTATTGAAGAATATTTCTATGGAAGTTTTTTTTCAAAAGATTTATGCATAAACTTCTGACAGAAAAAGTTAGATATGGTCAGTTGCAAAAGTAACTAACGCATAATTCCAGAAATAGTGGACATATTCTACGTAACAATTAAAAAGACTTCTTGGAAGTCTTTCGATAGAAGTCTTCTTTAGATTTTTGAAAAAAGTAAATAAAAAAGTAGGCCAATATTACAAAAGAAGACTTCTTAAGAAGTCTAATGTAGAGTAGAATTCTCTAAAAGTCTTCATTTGTAAATTTTTAATTGCAAAAATGACTTAAACGGAAAACTTTCATACAAATCTTCTCAAAGAAGACTTTTGTGGAAAATTTCTGAGTTAATATGTAATAAACTTTCATTTTTGTAGAATTAGAAAGACTTTTTTTTTTATATTTTCTTGTTAATTCATGTATTGTCAATATTGAAGCTCCTGAATGAAATTCATAATTTAATTGGTGAATATTATGAGGTCATCAACATTCATATTTATTAATGTTTTTAGTTAATGAGAGAAAACTTCCCAAAAGTCTTCTATCTCAGTTTTTTGTAAAAATTCTATTTTCAAAAGTGTAAAGTAACTTGAAGATATGTTTTTAACTTTTAAAAGTGTTAAGTAACTTCATAAATATTAGTGATGTGGTTTAATGTGTCTTGATAGATCAATTTTCATGAGATTTAAAATTTCAATTTTCACTTAAATTTCCGCTTAAAATTTATGTATTCCAAGAAATTTTATGAGAAGTCTTCCGAAGACTTCTAGTGAAAAAGTGTTATATGCTTGAATTTATGTAATTTTTGATCTTTTGTAAAATTTAACTAAATTTTCTCCATCAGTTTTAGTAAATTTGACTTTTTTTTGTAACTGTGTTTTGTTATTGAAGTTCTATCAATAACTTCAATAATGTCAATTATTTTTGCAAATAATATTGTAGACATGAATATATTGACCAAGTTCTTTTTATAAACATCTCTTCAAGTTTACCAAAGAATCCACAATTAAAAGACAAATACAAAACATAAAATAGATTATAAACAAAACTATAACACATGGAGTTAAAGATTAATATTCTTCGTCATAGATAAGCTTGGACTCCACTCGACATCATCCCATTGTACCACTTCGCACAAGCAATCATGCATATGAAGTATTTCAGGAAGTTTTGGTAATTAGACTTTGGAAAACTTCCTAAAAAACTTCAGAGACTTGTAGAGCTGGAGATCTCGTAGAGCTGGCTGCAGTTGCGGATTGGACTATCACGGACTTGGATCTTCCCGAGGTTTCTGGTGATTCGGTGGTTGGAGAATCTTCTTCCGAGGACGGGGCTGATTCTTAGATTTTATCTCTTTTTTTTCAATCAGATATCTCGTGTTGTTTTTATTTTGCTTCTCGAGCGCTTTGTTGATAACTACGGATTTATGGTATCTTTTCTCTTTTCTGAATTTTTGAGATTTTATTCTTTTCAGTGACATTTTTCTGTTTACTTCTCTTTTATAAATGTTGAATTCATTCCTTCCACCTTTGTATTTCTGAAAGTTACTTCTCTTTCTATCGTCAATCGTGACATCGAGGAAAACAAGTTCCTATGAGTCTGAAAGAATTCGTAACCTAAACAATGGAGCGGGACAGATCCATTCTGGCGATGTGAGTGAAGCGCTCACTGAAGTGCTTCGCGAGGAGCCTCAACTTCCTTGTGTAGCGGCTCGATCTGAAGCCAAAGATACTGAAGAACCGAAGACCGCAACTCTTTTGAGTTCTGGTACTCCGAATAGCTCGGAGGGGCGTGATCTTCCTCTGAAGATAGCAAAAGTTTCGTGGAAAGATGCTCGATATGGCCCCGTGAATGAAGGTGTGATCACGAATCCGTTTCGCTGAACATTTTCCCATGCCAAGGGTTGTCTGATCACGGATGATCCCGACAGTTGGCTTTGATGGCACGTGTTTCTATAAACACTGAATATTGTTTCAAGAATGCTGATCAAGTTGGGTGAAGTCATCGACTGAATTCCCTTAGGGCCCGGTGAACAATTCCTGGGCGGGGCCTGTGAGATTTTCGGCAAAGAAACGGCAATAGCCCACTTCCCTTTCCTTGTCATTGAGGTGCGCTCTCGATACGACCAACCAGAAGGCTCGCACGTGTGCTTTCGGATTGGAGTTACCTGAATATTCAGGGAATTTGATCTTATTGACGTCGTGTAACCTTACACTGATCATTCGGCTTGTGAATGGAGTTCGGTAAGTCTCCTCAATAACTTGATCGATGTCGGGGGCTGAGCTTGTTTCCATATGTATGATGGCATGTATACTTTTGAGTTCGGCGTCGGTCTTTTCGATGTAGCTTCTGAACGCTCCTGCTTGACTCGGGGATCTTTGATTGTCTCCCTGTGTAATTTCGTGCAACGATCTAAATGGATCGTATGCTGAGATGGGATCTTGTGGTGTTGAGGGCCCTGTTCGTTGAGATACGTCGCCTCCGAAGAAGAATTAATCATCTCGAGCTCGATGTTGCGGCGGAGATGTTTCAGCTGGTCTGTTTCAAGTTGGGAACAGGGTAGTTCTGAGGCCCTGCATTTCATTTTCAACCTCACCCTGAGCGTTATAATCAAGACTTCGATAGATCATCCCTTCCGGAGGGGGGGGGGGGCGCTGTTGCGAGTTTTTCCCCGTGTAGCGTCCTGATCTGGCGCTGGCCAGTTTGGGGGAGGGGAAGGCTCCGCGGTTCTGAGGGAGTGGTGTTTGCAGGGATGGATCTGAGTGTTGTCAGACTCTTTCCGTGGGATTTGCTCGGTATTCGGCGAGTTCCCTCTCAGTTTGTTTCAGGCGGTTGGCGATGGTTTGGTAAGTGATCTCTTGGTCACAAGATTTATCAATGAGTGTCGAAACCAATCCCCTGAGTTTCCCAACTTCTTCCCGAGTTTGGGCCAAGTGAGTTGGAGATCTCGGTCTCCCTGTTCGGGTTGGGTCTTCGGGTGTCATTCTGTCCATCGTACGATTCCACACCCGAGATCCGATTCGATCAGTGGGAAGGTTTTGATCTGAGACCGTAGTCCTATCGGTGATCGAAATTCCAGTTGATGGAATTTGTTGATTTTCGGCTGCGTCGGTGGCATCGTTGACGTTTGTTTGATAGAGGGAAGCCGGATCGATTCCTAGAGTGGTTCTGGTAGGATCGACGTCGGTCGATCTTTATTGGGCGTTTTCGGGGTTGATTGTGTTGGGATCCATAATCGTTCTTAGGAATCCTAGATCGTGTTCTTAGCAAGGGCGTTTTTCGTTTATCTTCTCCACAGTCTACGCCAAAATGTAGATCCTAAAATTCACACTAAGTATTTTGTAGTGATCAAGAGTTTAATCAGGGGAAGACAAATGATGTGGACAACGATGCTCTTAAACACAACGATACAATCGGAATTCGGTTGACAAAAATGGACTTTATTGAATATGGGATTCGATACAAAGTAATAAACAAGATCGAGAACAACAATGAAAAGTAAAAGTTATAAGCGAACTAGAAATCTATGGAGCGAGGTCGATGTGATTAGCGATATGCTCTAAGGTTTTTCTGTGTGTCGTGCTTTGCTATTAGCTCTCCTTTTATAGTCTTCTCCTTTTCTAACTGCTTCTGCGATCTTTGAGATACCATTTCGATCTTGTTGGATCTGATTGACGTCGAGCTTATGATAACCTTGCATGGTCTTGGACCTACTTTAATTATTTGCTGAAATTGGGCCCAACAATAACCATTCAATTTTCAAACAAAGTACGACATTACAACATTAGTAAAACATGCATGGGTGGAATGTCTGCCATAATCAAATAATGTTATACGAGCTACACAAACATGCAACAACAAGCAAGATATGGATACTGAAGATGATGAGAATGTAAGCCAAACTTCAACATGCTTTGACTCCAACGGTTGTATATGCATCTCTTTTAGATAAAATGTTCATAAATTGTATCCTAATTTCAGTCTTCCAAAAAACTCGACGTCATTCGAAAACTTTGAAGGAATAAATTAAACTATATATTCTTGGGTTGGCTGCATATTCCCCCTCTAAATACACTAACCCTACTTATTTCCCCCCCCCCCCAAACTATCAAGCTCTCTATAATCCCACCCATTCATATTCTTTCTCTTTAAATATCCCTCTAAACTTTTTTAATCCCCCTTTCAAATTAATTTCCAAATCGTGATTAGAGATATTAAAAAGAGCGTTTAGAAAACTGATTCCCCAATTAAATAAAACAGATCCGACCCATATTTTTTTAAACCCAAGATTTAGGAGACTCTAACGCAGCAGCGAACCCACCAAGACCAGCATTCATATCCATCACGTTACGGTACCTAGTCAAACCAATCAAACTATTGATACTCTTTTACCTTGCCACACGCTTCTTCCACAGTTTAATATCTTCTTGGTACGTTTCCGCATCAACTCCACTAACCAAACCTTTAGACACACTCGGAGGCACTGCCAATAGCCTCTCAGGGATTTTCTTCAGCTTCCCTCCAGCGACTTCTTCTTCACTTGATACTTTAGTGAACGGTGTTACACAAGTTTCAATCTCCTTGTACCAGACATCATCAGTGCCTTTTCTTTTACATGTGTTAACCGGTGTTGATCTATCGCATGACCTATCATTTATCTTCTTTCTGAAAATGGCAGTGTCTCCCTTCTCATACTTCTTCTCCCAGCATAAAGACTCTGCGATGTCTTCTATTCTCTTTTGCTCGGCTCTGAGGTCTGCTTTAGTACGGTTCCACATCTTGTAATAGGTTTTCCAGTTGATGGGAGGTCTTGACAAGACCCAGTAACCTCCTGGTCTCAAGACTCTGTCAACCTCCATTAAGTAGGTTCCCTCTGAAGTAGCAATCAAGATGCAAAGACGACATATTAAATTTTTAACATTACGTTTTAAGAAAAAGTTGTTGATGTAAAACATAATCTAATTTATGAAACAGAGGGAGCATTAAACTGTGAATATGTTAATGTTTTTTTGGTTGATAGTTACCGTTTGCAGTCCATGGGATCAAGCATCTAGAGCACTGAGCCATATCAAAGGCTCTTGGAGGATAAGGAAGAAGAATAGATCCAAGAACAGCTATAATAGCTGGAACACCTCTCTCAAGCTTGAGTAGGTTGAGTATGTTTGCTTGTGTCGTCGTTTTGTGTTGGGAAGAAGACAGGAAAAAACTAAGCTCCAATTATATTCTAATTTTAATTAGAATTGAATCCTAATTAGATTAGGTTGGAATTTTTTAAAAAAAAATATGGGTCGGATCTGTTTTGTTTAATTGGGGAATCAATTTTCTAAACGCTCTTTTTAATTTCTTTAATCACGATTTGGAAATTAATTTGAAACGGAGATTAAAAAAGTTTAGGGGGATATTTAAAGAGAAAGAATATGAATGGGTGGGATTATAAAGAGCTTGATAGTTTTGGGGGAATAAGTAGGGTTAGTGTATTTAGAGGGGGGAATATGCAGCCAACCCTATATTCTTTGTTAAACAGTATTAAGCGTTAAAAGTATTAGAGTTGTTTTCATATGATTGACGAATATAAGTTGTAAGTTGAACTGAAAGAATACTATAAAAACAACGTATAAACAGCTTAAATAAACTCTCAAATGAATGGCGACGGCGGTTCTCTAGAACACAATCTCCTTTGAGGTTTTGATCTACACTGGATTTGGTTGTTCCTCGACAACAGATCCTTCCGATCCTTTAGTCTCCTTGATTGGCACGACGTTTTTCTGGTTTTCATCACCTAGATCATCACGACGTGGTTCCTTGATCGTATGTCAGGATCACGTTGTGGCTGAATCATCACGACGGTTTTTCCTTGAGTGCTTCTGTTTGAATCGTCCTGTTCGCCGGTTTCTCAGATCACGGAGGTCATTCCAGGATTATTTGTTCGTTTTGTTTCATGATCTTCTGTTGGAAACAATAACTTGGGTGTTACTCCACGATAATTACTTTGGTTCTTTTGATACGATCTCACGTTCCGTCGAGGGTGAGTGTTTTGAGCAATTTCAGACATTTGTTTCTTTCATCGAAGCAACAGAAACGTTTGGATTGCTGTCCCACGATTTTGTGCGCCTCTGGTTTCTTTATACTCTGTTTTTTCCTTAGAAAAACAGAGTTGAACAGAGGGCTGTGTTTTGTGCTGCCTTGTATCCACGATGAGGAAGCATGGTGCTGGTGGTGGTAATTTGCCTGATACGAAGGGAAAGGGTTTACTGATTAACGACGAGGAGGAACCTTTTCGCTTAATCGATGAGGAGGACTCTACTGTGCTCAACGATTTCAAACTCTCACTTATTGGAAAAATTCTAAACCAGAGGAAGCAGAATGATGAACGCTTAATCAATTACATGCCAGGAAAGTGGGGTATGCAAGATCGGATTACGGCTAATGATTTGGGAAATGGGAAATTCCTTCTGAATTTTACTTCGGAGGAGGACATTAAGGAAGTACTGCGACAAGGCCCCTTTCATTTTAATTTCTGTATGTTCGTGCTGGTTAGGTGGGAGCCAATTGTTCACGATGATTATCCTTGGACAATACCGTTCTGGGTAACCATAACGGGGGTGCCTTTGCACTTGTGGACCATTACTAACCTCCGAGGAATTGGTAACTCATTGGGAGCTGTAGATACGTTGGAGCTTGAGGCAGGGAGGATGTTAATTGATATTGATACTCGTAAGCCCTTGAAGTTCACGAGGATGGCTACGAACTCAAATGGAGATGCTGTCACAATCAAGATTGAATATGATCTCCTCTTCAAACACTGCACTACATGTGGTTTTTTAACTCATGAGAAGGAACACTGTCCTTTAAAAACTATAAGCAGTACGGAGAGGCCAGATAGGACTGATCGTATGTTGGTTCCAAAAGAGAGCGGACATCATGGTGTTCCAAAAGGGTTTGATCTACGGGTTACCCTTAATGGTTCAGCTAACCCTGCGAAGCCTTTTACTAAGCGAGCTTTAGATATGAAGGCTCATAAATCTGAAGGCCCTATACGCCATCGCGTATCGGGTTACCAACGTGCATTGGATGAGCCTTATGATCGTAAGGAGGATGGTACAGGTGACCGGGTTCAATCTGATCATCAGAGACCTGAGAACCGGTATAATCAACACCATGATAGGGCGATGCGTCGAAGGTATGAAAATACTTATATTCATACACATGGACCATACGACCGGAAGAAAGACCAGCACTGGCGAGTGAAGTCAAACTCTTTGACTAGGCAGCAGGGAGTTAAACCGGGTAATCTTCGTGGTGGTGTGTCGCATGAGATCAAAGATTGTGATGCGAGGAAATATGGAAGAAATGACGAATATGACAGGAACAGGTCTGCGGGAAAATACCCTCGTGGAGAACAGTTGCCGGCAGAAAGTAGGAGTTCTCATTCATCCACCAATGAGTTTAGGCTTCATCCAGGTGCTCGGGATACGCAGACTACAACGCCGACTACAAGGATGGCTGGAAGTTCTAGCAAAATGGATGGTTTAGAAGTGGGTAACAGTCGACGTCACCATGGTTCTTATGACCGTGTGAACGTGCGCGCTGATGATGTTCTTAAAATGAATCCGGGGAGTCAAGGTGATCATTCTGATCACGCGCAGGAGTTTGATCCATCTGCAACAGTGGACGCGAGGAAGAAGCTTTATGGGGAGGCTGATATAACACCTAAGCCGTCTATGACCCCTGACATTACACAACGGCGGAAACTTGCAAGTAAGATTACTTCTCCGGAAATGAAAGTCAATGTTACACTTCGTGAGCGACGTGCGGTGCGTTCTTTGACGCCTCCCACACATGCTATTGAGATGGAGACTGATGATCCAGGTATAATTGGGGCTTTGACAGACATGGAATTCCCAGCCAACAAAGAAGTGGAAGGGTTGGGTGAGGATGATGATCTTTTTGATGAAGAGCTAATGGAGTTGGATGTACCCAAGGAAAGACATGTTCCGCGACACAGAGAGGCTGATAGGAATTCAAGAAGTGCAAAGGGGTCGAGAAGTGGGATTAGGAAAACTCCTAAGAAGAAAGATGTACTACGCAGGGGATCCCCTCGGTTGAGAGTCCTAAGCTCTACAGCCCAAAAACAGACTGGCGATAAAGGCAACACTCGGAGCTCCAGCCATAGAGCTCGAATGGATAGATCCAAGGTTCACAAAGAGGGTGGTTCGATGGGGTCCAAAAACCCATCCCACGTTCATCCATGAAGACACTCAGTTGGAACTGTCGAGGAATTGGGACTGACCTCACAGTTCGACGCCTTACGGAGATGTGTCAAAAGCATCGCCCAGGACTAGTGTTCCTTTCTGAAACTAAGAATAGGAGGCTGCTGTTGCAAGACATTCAGGCTGACTTAGGTTATGATCGTTTGTTTACCGTTGAGCCATCTGGGCTGAGCGGTGGTTTAGCTTTATTTTTTATGGATGATTTTCAAGTTAAGATTTTGTTTTCGAATAATAGAATGATTGAGATTGAGGCAGTCATTGATGGAATAAAAGTCTTTATGACGTTTGTTTATGGGGATCCTGTTATTGAACGGAGAGAACTAGTTTGGGAACATCTTACGCGTTTCTCAACAACAAGAGATGGACCCTGGTTCATGATTGGTGATTTTAATGAGATTACTTGTCATGAAGAGAAGGAAGGGGGTAGGCAACGAACAGATAGTTCGTTCTTGCCTTTCAAGCAGATGCTTAGTGATTGTGGCATGCTGGAGTTTCCTTTTTCAGGAAATATGCTATCATGGGTAGGAAGAAGAGCAGGACATACAACTGTTAAATATCGGCTTGATAGAGCTGTGGGGAATGAAAACTGGCATGAGAAATTTCCTCATTCTAAAGTTCAGTATCTAAGGCTGTGGGGTTCGGATCATCGTCCAACCCTGGCAGACATCTTTAAAAAAAAAGCCACGGAGATCGAAAAACTTTAAATTTGATAAACGTTGGCTTCAGAATGACGAACTCAGGCAGATTATACTTGAAGGATGGAAGTCACCAGACTTACCACCAGGGGCATCTATTATGGAGCACATTATAAGCTGCAGGCGGGCGTTATGTGATTGGAAAAGACAACATAATCTGAATTCAGAGAAAAGTGTAGAGGAGTTAAAGGAAAAAGTGGATCGGCTATCCTCCAATGATGATGCCACTACGGAGGAGATAGCGGAGGCTCTAAAAGAGTTGTCTGACGCTCTTAAGGCGGAGGAATTATTCTGGAAACAGAAGTGTAGGGTGTTCTGGTTACGGGAGGGAGATCGAAACTCAAAATTCTTTCATGCTCTAACGAAGCAGCGAAGAGCGAGGAACAGGATAACCCAACTTTTAGATGCAGAGGGGAACGTAGTGGAAGATGAGGAAGGTCTGGTAGCCATTGCTACCAGTTATTTTCGACAAATCTTTCAATCATCAAACCCTGAGGATATTGAGGACGCACTTTCAGAAGTAACCACTACAATTACACCAGCAGACAATGAGAGGCTCATAGCTCCAGTCACAGAGTGGGAGGTCAAATTAGCTTTGTTTGCTATGCATCCTGAGAAAGCTCCTGGTCCTGACGGAATGACTGCTTTGTTCTATCAAAATTTTTGGGATATTGTTAAGGATGATTTAACTCGTATGGTTAATGAATTCTTATTTCAAGGCACTATTCCGACAGGGCTCACTGACACTAATATATGCCTTATCCCAAAAGTGGACAAGTCAAATCAGATGAGTCAACTACGACCCATTAGTCTTTGTAACGTTTGTTACAAGATTATATCAAAGGTTTTATGCCAAAGGCTGAAAAAGGTTCTTCCCGATAGGATTTCTGAAACCCAGTCAGCCTTCGTTGCTGGAAGACAGATATCAGATAACATAATGATTGCCCAGGAATTATTTCACGCCTTAAGAACAAAACCAAGTGGGCGCAGTAAAATAATGGCTATCAAGACAGACATGAGTAAGGCATATGATCGTATGGAATGGTCTTTCATTGAAGCCACCATGAGGAAGATGGGCTTTTCTGAAGTCTGGATTACTTGG